AACGTCTCCAACTTCAGCTGCACCCCCCAGCACCGTCATGTTCCACGTGGGACACGCAGGTGAGTGCGAAATGTTCATCACACATTCGTTTAGCAGCCTCTTCATCCTCTATTCATCGGCTGTTGTTCAGGATGATGGGCGAGTTGCCCTAATGACTGTGGGTGACATTGAGCATTAACATAATGAATTACACACATGCATTATTCATACAATTCCACATGTACAAGCGCTCGACCCAGAACACCGAGTCACTTTGTCCACACGCGACGGTTCAATCCACATTTCCAGAAAAAAACCGCTTTTGACAACACATTTTTCCGTCAGGTGCTTTTAGTCTATTGTAGGAGAAGGGATATGTCATTAACAGTGCAGTGTGCAAACCTCAGACAGTGTAAAATGCATATAAGTACATACCTAGAACATACAAGAAGTTTGGTGTTCTTGTTTGTTCCTTTTAAAGTGTTGTTCTCCTCATCGCTCCACACAGATCTGATGTGTTATCTATTACAATGTAGAGTGGTGCAGTGATGACGTAGCTTAGCAAGGGATCCATTAACAAAAAAGCATCGGGAAAATGGGAGAATCTCATCAACCACAGCCCTTATTTCAGATGTAACTATAACCAGGTTGACTGGAACAGAAAGTGGTTAAATGCTAACTTATATCCGGGTTTGAGGACTCATTACGGCACCACTCGTTGTAGCAGAAGCTGTGTTAAGTCACATGCTTCAACATTTATTGCTGAAGTCTGTTTAGGTCGCATTTAGTTTGTATCGACACACTTCTACACCTTAGTATAAACGTGAATTCAGTCATTTGACTCCCTGTGCTTCGGCTCTGGTTTGAACCAATAGAAATCGCCCATTCAACCGGTGGTCGGTGTTACGTGCTTCCCTCCTTGAGGGCGGGTCGTAACAGGTCGGAAACACACTTACAGTTGTTTATCCTGATTAATTATACAGGACTCCTTAAATACGCACAATGCAGCCACAAATATACAATATAATATTCATTAAACAGGTATTTAAGTAAGAGTACATATGAATAAGTATTTCAACTTTTGATTAGGGCTGCTCAATTAATCGTATTTACGATTTTGGCTTGCAACGATTACGAAAACAACGTAATAAAACGATTATTTATTTATTGTATTGGTTTTTCAGTTGAATTATACTTAAAGTTCAGGGTAATCAACTGTTAAAAACATACTTTCAAATGTATTTTTTCAATGAATGGATGTTTTCAAAGTAAATGGATAATCGTTTTTAATAATCGTGATATCAATTGTTAACCCAAATAATCGAGATTATGATTTTTGCCATAATCGAGCAGCCCTACTTTTGATATAACAAACCATTTTTAGATATAACATTGATTTCACTGCAATGCTGGCCCTCTTTATATTCTTAAATCTCCATTTGTTTCTTTGCTTTGGCTTCTATCTCAAATGTTTATGTTTCAAAAGATAGCATGGCATTAGATCTCGTGTGTGGATGTTAACGTCCCCTCTGTGTTTCCAGCCATCATGGGCCTGATGTACTTGTACTGGACTCACCTCAACATGTTCCAGACTCTGAAGTACCTGGCCATTATCGGCACCCTTACCTTCCTGGCCGGGAACCGCATGCTGGCACAGAAAGCAGTGAAAAGGTACGTCTCCTGATGGGAGGAGGGGTGGGGGGGCTCGGCACAAAATGGTCCCCCAGAGAGTCCTTATTACCCCGAGAGAAAGATCCGAGTTTCTCAGGGGTCTCTCCGGCTCGTTCTTAGCCTCAAAACTCTGGTAAAAGTGCGTTGAGCTCCTCAGCCGGTCCCCAGGCGCTGATGCCAGGAGCAAGACCTGCCAGAGTGAGGCTCTAAAGTGGGCAATTTCCCCTCCATCAATATGTAGAGCCCTCGAGGGCCACAGGGAGCAATTTCCCCTTCTCAAGACGTCACTCTGTAATTGTTCTCCTTTACTTCTCGCTCTTAAGACGGACCCTTTTGAAATCAATTTGACTATGAATGACTCCTTCTGTCCTGCTAGCCTCTGTCTCCTTGCAGCTGTGACTCTTTTTAACCCCCTCTCTCCACACCTCTGTACTCCCTTTTTTCAGGATGCCGCCGAGCAAAGTAGTAGGTTGGCAAAGTATAGGAGCCTCCGATAAAACCCCCCCCCCCCGCCCCAATTTGTAACTAAAGAGTCGGCCGTGCTTCAAAGCCGAAGTAAGGGCATCCTCCAGAAAACTGCATCTCCACCCGGGCTGCAGCGTGCATGGCTGAGCTGCTCCATCATTTTAACTCTGAGTGTTCACGTGTACTTGAAGCCCCCAAACCCCCCCCCCCCCGTCTGGTTTGCCTCTCACTCATCCCACCTCGATCATGGCCGCTTGGTGATCCCTCCATTGTGGACTAACACTCATGATTCTGGTTGTGCCGTTTACATCGAGTGACATGTTTTGTGTGTGTTGGATCTCAAGACGTTCCTCCGTGTTTCCTGCCATTACACATTGTTTGATGTGCATTTGAACGCATGATACAGCCTGTGTGTGAACTGTTGAAGATCAGCTGTCAAAGGAATATTTCACACTCAAAAGGACGATTTTACAACAATATATCAAACGTAGAATTCCTCCAGAAACATCTCGTATGCCACGGGGAACGAAGAATCCAAAGTGTGAAATAAATGGAAATGAATTGATGGACACAACAAAACTTTATTAGAACAACTGTTTACAAACGCTTACACAACTCATGCAGCATAAACCAAGTCTCATGTGTCTACTTAATTTCACATACGGATGCATTTTCACTAAAAACCCTTTTATATTTAATAACGTAACGGTGACTCACAAGGATGGGTAGACTTTGCAAGAGCGAAATGATATGCGGCACTTGTGTTCAGGAAGTATTATTAGCATACTGCAAGATAAAGTAAAGATTGTAATCTTACTTCAAGAGTTTGTTTACTTACGATTGGATGTATTTGTGCTTTTAATCAAAACACGGCCCCACCCTAATTGACTTGGATTCGTTCATTTGAAATTCTTTGTTCACCTTTTGGGGAATACAAACCGAATGATCAGTTTGTGGGTGAATACTCCTTTTAATAATGTCACAAAGGATTTCATTCATCTTGATTTTATAATGAATTATTACTCTCTCTCTTCTTCCACAGAATCGAAAACAAATAAGAGCTAAGAAAAATTAAAGAAACACCGACGAAGGCATTTTTTTTTATCGTTTACATGGAGTAAATTCAACGATGCAATCAAATCAGACTTTAAAAACGTCCCCGACCAACAGTTTAACATGTCCTCCGTGTTGCCAAGAGGAAGAAGTCCCACGAGGACAAACGCTCAGCGACAGGGTCCTTACTGGCAAAGCTACTGATCACTGCACTTCCTGTGAGATTCGTTTTTCTGATGTGTTTTCTGAGTCAGAGAGCCGTTTTTTTATTTGTGGTTCATTGATGGGTTTATTGTCTTTTTTTTTTGTACATTCCTCTGTTGTCCCGCGGCAACCCGTTTCATTCACCACCTCGCCACAGCTGTGTCGACTTGTTTCCTCTGATAAAAAAAAAAAAGAATCAAACATTGGCATACAGCTGATATGTTGACTAACGATGAATGTGTTTGCTGCGTCAGACGTGTCCCCTTATTTGATACGGCGTGTGTGTGGCCGGGAAGAAAAAAAAAATGTTAATGAAATGTGGGCAATTTGAGGAAAGTGATGTTTTTGTAATGAAGAAGAGGAAATAAAGAATTAGAGGTGAATCTTGGCGTCTTTTTTTTATATTGATAGATTACATCTTAAGTATCACTTTGGGATGATTGAAAGGTGACAGAAAATGTTTTCATAACCAAATTGTTGTAAGTATTTCAGATTCTTAAAACCCTAATCTTTGAAATATCAAAAGGGCTGGAGTCACATTTTAAATTGAGTCTCATTAGAAGGAAATTCCCTTAAGTGATTTCTGTGTACCGCACCGTTGTGACGAAAAGGGAGCTGAGCCAGAAGGCAAAGCCTCTCTGTCTACCGGGGCCATTTTCGTTCCTACCCTCACCTATGGTCATGAAGGATGGTCATGACCGAGATCGCGGATATCAAGCGGCCGAGATGGGTTTTCTCCGCAGGGTGGCTGGTGTCTCCCTTAGGGATAAGGTGAGAAGTTCGGTCATCAGGGAGGGACTCGGAGTTGAGCCGCTCCTCCTTCGCGTCGAAAGGAGCCAGTTGAGGTGGTTCGGGCACCTAGTTAGGATGCCACCTGGGCGCCTCCCTAGGGAGGTGTTCCAGGCACGTCCAGCTGGGAAGAGACCAAGGGGTAGACCTAGGACCAGGTGGAGGGATTATATCTCTTCGCTGGCCTGGGAGCACCTTGGGATCCCCCAGTCAGAGCTGGTTGATGTCGCCAGGGAAAAGAAAGTTTGGGGCTCTCTGCTGGAACTGCTACCCCCGCGACCCGACCACGGATAAGCGGGAGAAGATGGATGGATGGATGGATGGATGGATGGATTTCTGTGTAGGGTTAGCTGTTTTCATGAAGAGAGAATATATTTTTTTTATTTGAATCCCAATTTCGATCAATAAAATACATTTAATCTAATTTATTTGAAAAAGCCACTTCAACTCACGCTGCTAAAGCCCAAAACATGGATGGATTGTTTCTTTTGTGTTTTCCTTATTTCTGAGCCCCATTGGGACCAGAACTCCTCTGGTTGGTACGAGCGAAAACATTAAAAGAAATATATTTTTAGATCATTTCAATATTTGAGCAATGGAAGAGGTACAAATAGTTTAAGAGGACATTCTGCTGATGTTCAGGTGACATAGTTACCGCCAACAGATCTGCCCTCACTACTGACAACGTAGACAAACTCATCTTTTTGAAGAAAAACTTGAAAATAGAGTAAAGCTTGAGTAACCTTTATTTAGGCATAATGCCTCACCACACTCAAGTTAATTACACATGTTAGACATTGCTCCTAAAGGTACAGATTTATTTTGTTTTATATTTATCATTGCATTTATTTTATATTTTGCCTTTTATTTATTGTGATTGAAACACTTTCTTATTTATTTTAATATGTTCAAGACATTATTTTTAGTTGTACAGCTTATTGAACCTTTTTGTTTGACATCAGCCAATATAAATAATATGGCCATCTGAGTGTGTGTGTTACTGTTTGTGGTTTGTTTTTAACTGTGTAATACAGTTAATGATTCCAAATGTTAGAGTTCCTTATTTTCATACCAAAACTTGCACTACTGTTACAAATTAATAACAGCAAAAACAAATTATGCATTTGGGACTTTTTTTTTGCTTTTCCTTGTTGTACCGAACCGTGACTTCTGTGAACCGTTACACCCCAGGGTTTCCGTTAGCCGGTAATTACCGGTTTTTAGCTGGTAAAATATATTCAAAACCGGTAAATTCAAAAACCTGCCGGTCAAAATGTCCGGTAATAATTAGGGATGCTCCGATAGATTCGGCCGCCCGGTCATTATCGGCCGATATTCACTCTTAATAGTTTGATCGGTTGCTCTCTATAAAGGACGATCAGGAGAGCTGGATCTGATCGATATGGACATAAACGCGAGTGAAGTATAACCGGACGCGAGAGAGAGATCAGATCAGCTGCTGAGTCTGACGGAGACACGCAGACACTGTTTAGCGAGCTGCATGAGATACAGACGGGCTGTCAGGAGAGAGAGAGAGAGAGAGGGAGAGAGAGAGAGAGGAGAGAGAGAGGGGAAAAAGAGAGGATCCGTTTCTCTCGTGTTATTATTCAAAGTTAATGTAAACTTTTGAATAATGTACTTTATCTACTATAAGTAGTTTGTTTGAATGTAATAACTATGTTGTTTGTTGTTTGTGGAAGCGCATCATTTGTTGAAAAATGAATCTGAACTTTCGATCTGTTACGATTTATAAACTGAAGCAAAATAAAAAATTAGCCCCATTAACTGAGTTTTAAACATCAGCATATCCGGTCATAGTCCGGTAATTACCTGCTAACTCTGCTACACAATTCTGGACTCTGCTACACAATTCTTATTATTATTATTGAAAACATTACCGGTAAGTTTCGAATTTGTCCGGTAAATAAATTATTTTCGGACATTTGACCGGCAAGAAAAAATCCTGGCGGAAACCCTGACCCCTAAGTGTCTCTACTTTAAAGAGTCCTCTCCTGCTGATGTTCAGGTGTATATCAGTATGTAGTGTCTCTACTTTTAAAGAGTCCTCTCCTGCTGATGTTCAGGTGTATATCAGTATGTAGTGTCTCTACTTTAAAGAGTCCTCTCCTGCTGATGTTCAGGTGTATATCAGTATGTAGTGTCTCCTACTTTAAAGAGTCCTCTCCTGCTGATGTTCAGGTGTATATCAGTATGTAGGTGTCTCTACTTTAAAGAGTCCTCTCCTGCTGATGTTCAGGTTGTATATCAGTATGTAGTGTCCTCTACTGGGACATGTCTCCGTGCTTTAATATTCAAAAAGCTCTTTATCTTCTCATACTGCCTGTGCTGCAGCACCTCTTTCACCCTCTGGGTGTTTCTCAATGTCGAGGACGCTTCCTTGGTAGCACAAGTCCCTCCGAAGTCAGGTCCTTCAGAAGCGAGGCAAAAATCCTTCCTAGCCTCGGAAAACGAAGAATGGTGGAACAGGCTAACAGGTGTGCAGGTGTGCGTCATATGCGAGGCCCCGCCTTAAATGGAGCGCGATTTCCGCCAAAGTTTGGGAAATTGGTCCGTGCGCAAAGCATTGTGGGGATTTTAAGACCACGGAGTCTACACATGTGCAGCCTAGAAATTTCCCGCAATGAAGTACGCATTTGAACAGTCCTTCGGCGGGACTCGATGACGTAGTATGCTTGAAATAGTGGCTCTGGAGGAGCCTTCCTCGACATTGAGAAACACCCTGTCTGAAACCAAAGCCCAGTCTACTCTGATTGGCTATCTGGTCAGCTCTGTTGTGATCAACCGCTCAGATGTCCCGTCCCTTAGCCTGTCACGCACAATGTGTTACATAATGATGTCACTATGTCATGGAAGTAAACAAAGGAGTCCAATGGAGGTGTTTCCGGCAGGGGGGGGCTTTTGAGAGAACACAGTGAGTTTAGTCTTTGAAGACCATTTACATGCACTAAAACCTATAGAACACACTACAGGAAAGGGAAACCCCAAAGAAGAATAGTAGGGCCCCTTTAAGGCAGCAAAAAAACATTTGCATAGAAAACAATATGTAACTATAACAACGCACCATTCATCCCAAAGGCATGAACTGGGCTGCAGGTTTTTTTTTTTAAAGCTTTTAATGGGAATTCAATAAAAGACAATAAACTTTAGATCTTTAAATAAGAAGGTAAAGGAAAACAAGCGGCGATGGTTATGGAAAGTAAAGTTGGCGAGGAGTGGCAGCCTTCCATCTGTCCGATCCACCGATCTCAACTAAGCAGTCTGTGGAGAGGAAAGACTCAAGGTTAGCGAGAAATAAACACAACGTTATAATTTCATAGAACTGAGAGTGTGTAATATTTGTTGACCTGGGCCTCATAATGTTCCCGTGCACTCCTCTGTATCTCTGGTTGCTCTGGATGGAGGTTAGATCTTCTTTAAAGGTCCCTTCGTAGATGTCTGACTGACGCTTCACGTAGCTCTCACTTTTATCACTGTGAGAAAACAACAACACTTGTGTTCATTGTGTATTTATGTGCTTAAGAACACACACTAGCAGTGTGACGTCATGGAGCGTTCAGTGATGTTGAAGGTAGATCAGTTAGTTAGCATAAGTCAAGCAGAAAAAGCAATGGGAATTTTCCATTGGATATTGCAGAAAATAAGCAATGTGGCAAACACACATTTATAATACTTTCATGTTTTGTTCAACAAGATAAACTCTACATATTTAAACAAATGTTAGGATTTTTAAGGGTAAAATTGTAGTAAAAAAGCAGCATTAGTCTATAAAAGGAACTACATCACGGTCACATGGCTACGCATAAACACCGCTAAGCTAACGGCGGCTAATGTTCGGCGATATGGCGTTAAAGAGCATCTTGCAGGTTTTTTTTTTTTCTACATTTATGCTTAAACTTGCTTGAAAATTACAATTTAAAAAAAGTGAATGTAGGATTTGATATGTTTTTACGAGACATAAGGGCAGGAATTCAGAGGGAAAGGAGCAATTTTGAGCTCTGCTCTTAAAAAAACGGGGTTTTTTTAAGGTCATACGTCAAACCGCGTCATATTACATCACAAAGGGTAAACATCTCCGCTCTCTGACCGCGGGTATAGTGTGGATTTGCATTAGGTTAAAGCGAGATTACGGCTGATACTTGCGCATTAGTTTCTGTTATGGATCAGTATCAACAGTCCTGCCAGTAACGTTACTATATTATCAATGCTACTTTAGTTATACCCTGATATATGATAGCTAACTTCACAATGTTTGTGATGTGACGTTAGCTAACATTCTGTAGCTAACGCCGGTCCCTCACCAAGACAGCTGCCCAGTTCTCCACTGGTTCTCCTCACACCACAGCTCCATTTCTCTCCGATGGCCGTTATTTCTTCTAATCCTTGGCTGCTCCTGGTCTCTTGGACGCCTAGCAGGCTCATAATTATAAGGTTGTGGTCCGTCATATGCATTTGAATATTCATGTTCAACTTCTTCTGTGTCTTCTGTGTCGAAACTAGCATTGGGATCCATGTTTATTAATACGTTACACCGGCCGCTTTCCACCTTGTTTACCCTTTGTTACGTCACACGCGGGAGGTCACGTGCCGAGGCTTTTTTATGCGGAAGTGAACATTTCTTACAAAAACGACGCCAGATGTCACTGTAGTGTATATTTCTGTATATTTTTTTGAAAATCTAGTGTATTCATCATTTTCCTACACATTTATTCACTGGTGTCTTTAACCTGGAAGTTGCTCTTTAAGTAGTCTAATTTAGCCACTTGTTAGCATCTGCCGTTTTTAGGACACATAGAAGCTTCGGATATTCATGAGTGGGGTAATCTCTGATGTATTTTATGTCGTAGAACAACATTTGGTAATCTCTTCAACTTGTGTTAAACACAGATTTTTACTTCAGGTACCAACATTGTTCCAAAAACCATTGATCGCGAGGGGAGCGAAAGTGCTAGAAGGCTAACTCATATCCCGGGTTTTAAGACTCATTCCTGCACCCACTCTCTTGCTCTCCTCTCGTGCTACCCACCCCCGCCGTTTGCCCATGATTGTCTGAAGGAACTTCCTAGGCAGAGACTTGTCCCAGGACCTTCCTGTAGCTGTTGGTGAAAATGGCGTCAGCGTGGCGTCCCGAGCTAAAAAACACAAAGAGGACAAGGAGACCGTTATTAAGCTGCTGTCGTCTCGAAAAGCTAATAAAGTGAGCAACATGAAAACAACACATCTGTTCTACAGTCGTTACAAACAAGCAAATGTTTTCAACAGCCTAGCAGATGGTTCAGATTTCACCTAGCTACTAACAACTGTTCAGAGCAGGTCTGTAAATGATTCACAGTGACCTTTACACCTGTATCTGAAGGGATATGCAGATGACTGTGGGTCTGTTGACCTCTACTGTGTCGGGGTGGAGGCAGACATCTTAGAAAACAAATCTAACTAGGTTTTTTGTAATGTGGTAAAGCAACTCTTTAAGACATATTTTTTTATCAGAGACAAGATAAGATAAGATGGAACTTTATTAATCCCCGTGGAGTTTAAGCAGCAACAGAGTGAGTGAAAAACATGACAGCACAGATTCACACAAGATTAATACAATTAAAGATGAAATTAAAATTACGATTATATACAGGTACAGTAACTGTCAACATAAGAAATTAATTAAATGAACATACATATACACATGATTCCAGATTGTTAAATATACTTACATGTATCTGTGCCGGTAACAAGTTATTGTGACAACATATTTGATGTACAGTAAGGCGTCCTGTATTAAGGAACTGACCGTGACCCCGCTGGCTCTCCTGAGTCGTCCTCCAGCTGATCAGCCGGATCCTTTAAAGAGGATGTCATCAGGATGGAGGTGTCCCTTCTGCCAAACCTGAGGAATAATAACAAATAACAATAATATAATAAATATATTTCAATAGCACTTTTCATAGTGCTCAAAGATGCTTTGAATACAAATAACAATAAAATATTAAAAAGTAATTTTCCTTCAGTAAATGAGTGTAGTAATAATAATAATAATCATAATCATAATAATGATAGTAATAACAAAAACATCTAATAAATAAATAAACAAATAACATAAATGAAAATAATTACAAACAATAATAATGATATTAATAAAGGTAGACAAAATGCAATCAAATCATCCAAAAGCTAACAAAAGATAACACACTCGGTAAAAGTGAGACAGAAATAAGACACAATTAATAAATACCATTATAATTATGACTACCATGACAAATACAGACCAATAGGAAGGTGATATTAATAATTAAAGCTAAGATGTGCCTGTCACTTAAAAAGGTCTACCTCCGTAATATTTCTAGGTATTTCAATCATTTTGGAGCTTAATAAATAAAACCACTTCCCCAAAGTGTATATACTCAAAGTCTGATTATTACAATATCCTCAGTCTCACAGTAAAATGCTCTCTCTCTCTCGCGGGATGATTTATTCTGCTGCCTCGACGCAGCAGGACTGTAATTAAAGTCCTGCGTGAACGCAACGCAGTGACTATGCGCACATCTTGACCCTCGTTAGCATAACAAGTGCAGAGGGCAGCGCTCTGACACGAGGAGAGCCTCAGACGCAGAGAAACGAACATCCAGCTCCATCAGCCCGACACAGTGCTCAAGTCCCTGTCCCTCCTCTTGTTTACATTCTGTACATTGTCTGGATCAAATCCTTTCTTATTGAGAGGAATCAAAACATGGATGTGTACATATAAGCTGCACTGTTTGCAGTGGCGTTTCTATATGTACAAAAGTGGTGGGGCACAAAAAACTCAGATGTCTATATATAAGCTTCTGCAGTGAGGTTCATGGCTGGTGAGGCACTGGCACTGACTCTTCAGGTTTACAAATATTATATGTTGACCTAAATCAAAATATAATATTATTTTCAAAAGCTTTTTTTGTCTGATGCTTCAATTAATTTTAAACAGACAGTTCAACAGAAGGATACCCAAAAAATGTAATTTTATCATTTAAATATTGAATTGTTCTCTCTTAGTAAGATCCCATTTTCAATAAAATGGTGGTCTTACCTTGACTTGAAGATGAAGTCCATTTGCCTATCCTTCTGGACAAAAATCTCTATTACTTTTTTGTAAAAGTCCTCCTTATCTTCTTGTAGTTTCAAAAGTCTATCATAAATCTAAATGATGGATTTATGATTCGAAAATTATAAAAGTAGGGTAGACATGTGGATATTATCCAGCTGAACAAAACGTACATTTATCTAACAGCTACGTTTCCCACAGATCTTATTTCGAGCTATTTTCTAAAATCCTATGGAGAAATCTCATTGCTTTTTTGTGGAGGGAAGCCATGCGCAGCTTACTTCCTGGTTTTAGGACGCGTCACTCTCCTCCTCTTCACACACCACACTTTTCGCGGCACACGTACTTACAGCCAATCAGCTCTGAATTATGTGAGATGACGTATGGTGGGGATGGCAGCTCAGTGCCCCTATGGTCATTATTTTTTGCCACACACATTAAATAGGAAAATACTCTGAGCATGCGCAGTGTAGTTTTTACAGTCACCGTTCACTTAGACAGTGAGAGGGAGGGGCAGGATCGGGTTTTGTCCCACATGGCTCTAAACAGCTCAATAGGCACACACTGTAGACACTAATTAGAAGAACACAGACTAAAATAGCAATGTACAGACGAATCAGATGATTAAACATGATCTTAAAATATATTTTATATATATATATTTTTGTTGCTGCATTTTGTTGTAATCATTATTTTAATACTTTCTGCTGACACTAGGTGGGGCTGTGCCTGCCCCTAATGACCAGTCGCCACTGACTGTTTGTACCAATGGCATCTGCACATATACACGTAAATATATCTAACAATCCATGTCCAATATGTAAATATGTTCATTAAATTATCAACCTTGTTGTGATATCTCGTTTTAAAAGTTACTTATATAATGTTATATTTTATTGTATTATCCTCTTGTCTACCGTCCTGTTTTTCACCCTCACTCTGTTGCTGCTTTAAAATAAAGGTCCATCTTATTGTGCTTATTTTCCATTTAAACACATTTCATTTAAAAGACACAAGAGAAAAGTAATGAATAGAAATAAAATAGATTAAAAATAAAAATAAAAATAAAAACCAACAATGAATACTAAAAACCACAATAACAATAATAATATTTATATAATATAATAATATTAATAGTGAAGTCAGGCACATTTTTTATTAAAAATAATAATATCAATAATACTACTTCCACTAATAACATCTACAATAACAACAAAAATAATAATAACAGTAATAATAAAATAATAATAACAATAATTGAAAACATAAAATAATAGTCCATTTTTTTATTACATGGCACCAAATAACAACAACATGTATAATAATGATTTATACAAATAAATTAACTAAATATCTTCTACCATCTAAAACTCTGATAACAACAGGACATTTTGAAAAATCCAATCACATTAATGTACATACTTTTGGTGCTTAACTTAAAATAATAAAATATTGAAAAGAGAAAATGCTTTTATAGAATCACCTCTTATCCCTGAGCAGCCTCACTCTCCCTTATCTCCCCCTCCCCAGATTGCAGTTAAGATTCATGTCCGTTTGTTCATGTTGCCTCACATCAAAACACATTTTAACTTGTATTTAATCAGAAATCAGATTCCCTCGAGGTGTGCCCATCAGGTCTGTGAGTCATGTCATTTCAATGGGATACATTTCAAGTATGAGAGGAAGCGTTGGTGTGCCAGTTTAATTGTTGCATGTTTAGCTATCCCCAGAATTATTCAAATTGGGTCCGGGTGTTAGTTTTCTGCTTTGAAATGTTTAAAAGATGTTGTCCATTTCACTTGATGACGCTTTCTAACCACATCAGCTGTTCTCTGAATCTTAACATCTTGTTACCTTTATCGTTGGGCATCTTCCCATCTTAACAGCTGAGTTTACCAGTTCTAAAAGATGTGAACAACATTAAAGAAAATAATTGGATGGTAAATAATGTAAGTAAAATGTGTGAGGACTTACCTAATGGATGGGTAGAGCGGGGAGCCTGCTAAAGACATGACCAGGCAACAAAACAGCAGCAGCACAGCTTTCTCCATCCTCACAGCGAGTCCTGGAGAAGAAGGGACAGCCAGAATAAATGACAGGAGTAGAAATGACATTAGAAAAAACGCTGAAGCCACAGTTTCCCTGAAACAGACTCATCGCTCTGCAGGAGGCTCTGAAGTTACAGCAGGCAGAGATGTATGAAGGAACATATTTCATCTACAAAATGTCCAAGCTTTGACACTACATCTTCACATTGAATTGAATGTACCTTGTTAGAGTCACTTCTGAGCGTCCCTGCAGGTCCTTTTTATTTGGAGCCCTCCGCTGTCATCATTTCACTCTGCCAGGAAAAGGCAGGACTGTTTGTTATCCCTACGTCCATGGTCAGTTTATACTGAACCTGTAGCTGCCCGTCACTCCCACATCACACACACACACACACACACACACACACACACACACACACACACACACACACACACACACACACACACACACACACACACACACACACACACACACAACACACACACACACACACACACACACACACACACACACACACACACACACACACACACACACACACACACACACTCTTTCTTTATTTCTGTATCCTTGAACTTTCTGCTCTCTTCCCACTGCAGTCAGCATGTCATTGTGTCCTTGGGAGAGACACTTCACTCCAAATTGCTCCTGAGGGGACCGTCCAGAGTAGGCCTATGTAACAAATGGTTGGCAGAAAAAACTAAGATTGAGAACAAATAATGTAAACAAAATGATTATATGACAGAATGATATATGATTTACACAATATGTAGGAAAATGAATTTAGTAGTAATTTTGACAGCCATTTCATTATATTATGCATTAAGTGTGTACAACTATTGCCTCTTAATGAAATACAAATACATTGAAACCAGAAAATAAATAGATAAATATATAGTGTCCATTAAAACAATGTTTGGATTTTGTATGAAATAGAAAGAATTCACAGCTATTTAAAAACATTTAAAATAGATTATGTATTTTACATTTTCCTAATGAAAAGACGTTAGTTAAAGGTAGGGTATGGAGAAGCCAGCTCGAGTGTGCAATAATTTGAAAGTAGGCTACACAACCGAAACAAATCTGCCCCTTCCTTCAGACTTCCTTACAGAGCCCCTCCTCCAACACACACGAACGCGCACATGACCAATGAGGGCACGAGATAAATGTGTGCACAGATGGGAGGCTGACAGGCAGGTAGGCCATCCAGTTACTTTAGCCGGCTCAGATGATTGGTCGTGCTTTTTACAGCGCTACGGCTTCCACTGATGACATGTTGTTACGTATTTATTGTCAAAGCATTTAATATATTCATTGCTATCGGGATGTTAAGAGCATTCCATGGAATATAACAAAAAGTGTTTCTGAAGTGAATTACCTACCCTAATGATGTCATTCGGATAGTTTGAGTTTAAGTTAATAACCATTATTATGTATTCCCCTTTGGCCTGAGTTTAGGACCATACATTGAAAAGAAAAGTGTGACATGTTTCTATCACTACTAAGTTTCCAGGAGTTGATTTATTAAAAACTCACTGTGAAGCCTCTGCTGACTTGCGGAACTATGTTTTACGTCAAGAAGTTATTTTAGACGGACCCTGAAGATGGACGTACTTGGGGACATCTTTGGCTAACGGATTCTGGAGATGCAAGATGAGTCTCTGCCTGTACATCCGTCTTTGTTAAACAGGACCGTTTCCTCAACATTTACCATCATTGTTTAACTAAAATGAACTTCAGAATATTAATAAACAGTGTAATAATAAAATTGCCTAAGTAGGAAAATACATTAGTTCCTCCTGACATGACGGCATATCTGTATAATGCAATAACAACAAAAAACATTAACATTGCATCCGTTTTACGCCCGTGCACCTGAATAAAGCCGACTACTATCAAATATAAATGTTATTCATTCAAATCAAGGTAGTTATGCTATACATGTTCATACAAATGTACCTTTTCAACTATTGTTGTAAGTAGAGACACTACATTGTTAACAGCTCAATGTTATTTCCTGGTTGAATAACGACATCTTGGAAATGGCAGATATTCTTCTTGGTACGAAGACATCTTTGGCCACACATGAGAAGTTGAATGACATTTACTCAACTCAGCTAGCACTTACACAGTAATTTATTTAAAAAAATTAAAACTATACATGCAGTAAGCTACTAAATAACGTTAGGAGTAGCTAACTAAACTATATGGTTGTTCAGTCAGAGCTACATCCTACAGTAGCTGCAAAGCTCCTGTCGCTACCATTAGCTAACTGAGCATGGAGTCCCTCAGGAAACCCATGTTTACTATCCTGCAACACTGGAGACCCCACAGAGGTGTTAGACCCAGATATTGTTCTAAATTAGCTAACACTAGTGTCACTTCCAAGGAGACGAAGACAAATATAGATGCGTTCAAGAGTCAGTTATCCTGTGGGCCAAGTTTTCAGGATTTTATCAAAGGAGCCTCAGTGAAGAAGAGCTTTGCTGCAGATGAAGATCTCTTTGATAATCACAGCTATCTGTCTGAGGACCTGGAGATGGGAAACTCAAGGAAAGGTGTGTCTGCATCACCAATGAGTTCATTTTAAATGTTTGGTAATGGTTATGCACATTTTTCCTTTGTATTTTTGTTTTTCCTTGATGTGATTTGCCTATGGTATATGTAAACACATGTGTTGGTATTCTGAACAAAGTGCATCTGTTTAATGAATCCAAAATAAAAAGTATTACAACTAAACGTTAAATGTCTGGTATCATTGTTAAACTGTTTATTTGTGTTCCCATCGCAGTGTATTTTGAGACCTATGGGTGTCAGATGAATGTGAACGACACGGAGATAGCCTGGTCCATCCTGCAGAGGAAGGGATACCTCCGCACAGTGGAGTTAAATGAGGTATTCAAGAGAAATACAACAATTATATAACATTATTATAACACCATTTATGATTACAAGGTTAACTAATTATATTGTTGTGCTTACAGGCAGACGTTGTTCTCCTGGTGACATGCTCCATAAGGTAAGGCGATGTCATGCTCTTAGGAATAACGTGAAACATGCTGTTTTAAATGTTACACTTATGCCTCACTTTAAAAAAAAAAAAGTTATCCTGATAAAAAAAAAACGCCATAAAATGTGATATTTTAGTATTTTTCACTTAGATTCGGTATACTTTATTGATCCCTATTTAGGAATGTTTTTCGTCACAGCGGCATGTAGATAGAAGATTAACAAATAGTAAGTGTAACTGAGTTTAATCCATTAACCAACTTCACTTCTGATGATATCCACCACACATTTGTATGAATTTCAACCCTTTCCATGTCAGTGAGTTAATACAGTGCTTCTCAAACTTTTGTCAGTCATGTTCCCCCTTTGAAACATTTTCTCAGTAATGTACCCCCTGACCGACCCCGAACATTTTTGATCGAAAAAGCCTATATAAATAATTACAATATAGTGATGTTCCCTCAGTGTGTGATTTATTAACTCCTTCGTGCATGAATTACAACAAACTAAGGATATTTTCATTTTATGCATGAAAAAAAATAACGTTTTTATAAAACAGATTTTTCCAAGGACTTTTTCAACTGAAGTAATATATGTTTAACAAACTAATGAACAAAATGATATATTGTGAAAAACTATAAAATACAATACACACATTTGACATGTTTATATGAGGACCCCCTTGGTGGTTCTAGGAATATTTTATATAAAATTGTGTTTTCTATTTAACTTATTGTACTAAGATTATTTTTGTAATCATGCATGGGTTTTTATTAACCTTTCTTTTCTTTAAAAAAAAATAAAATCTCACGTACCCCCTGCAGTACCCCAACGTACCCCTAGGGGTCCGTGTACCCCCATTTGAGAATCACTGAGTTAATATAATGGCAACATTGTTTTGCACATTGGAAAAATAAATCAATTCTATGTACAGTTATTCACGGTCTGGGATATTTCAATTTATGTATTTTTATTGTTGTGAGGAAAACCAGGAAAATGACCCACATTGCAAACTGAAACACAAATCTAGAACTTTTTGGGAATATTCTTGTCCTCTTTTAAGTTCTTAGTGTGGGTATTTTCTCTACACCGTTTATTATCCCTAGTTAGGCTAAGGGTTAACCTGACTAACTAAAATCGGCATTTCAAGGCTTCCATACAACCATTCAAACTAAATACGATTCCTAACTAATTAACCAAATTCTTTCTTAACAGAGAAAAAGCTGAACAAACTATTTGGAACAGACTAAAACAACTAACAGCCATGAAGAAGAGACGGAAAAAGAGCCTCGCTCCAATGAAAATCGGGATTTTAGGTAAGATTGTTGACTGAAATCAAGCCATTTTCACACTCTTACAGAGACTATGAGATATGTAATAATGGCTGTGTTGGTCCAGGCTGCATGGCAGAGAGGCTGAAGACGGAGCTCCTGGAGCGGGAGAAGCTGGTGGACGTCCTTGCCGGTCCAGACGCGTACAGAGACCTCCCCCGCCTGCTGACGGTCGCTGACGGAGGCCAGCAGGCCAGCAACGTGCTGCTGTCCCTCGAGGAGACCTACGCTGACATCATGCCCGTCCACCACACCACGCACGGGAACAGTGCTTTTGTGTGAGTGTTTCCGGAGGATGTCCTTCATATTGCATCTCCAAGCTATCGTGGGAAAGCATTATCTCCTTTCCTTTCGATAAGGATGGTCCAGTGTTTCCTAAATTAGGAGATTATAACGGAAGCATTGAAGCTCCTTTCCTATCATCTAGGATAGATGTTTTATTTGTATTGTTTCTGTTCTGATTTTATGTAAAGCGTCTTTGAGCATTAGGAAAAGCGCTTTAAAAATCCCATTTATTATGATTATTATTATTATTATCATCTACAGAATCCAAACAGCTCTTATCATGGCCGCCACTTAAGTCCTTCTGGGTAATTTCACAAAAACACAATTTGACCGCAACCCGTTACTTCATAATGTTATATATGTGCCTTTTTTTCTTACATTTACATTTTGTGTATGTATGTATATATACTTCATATAAGTATATATATATATATATTTCTTATATATTTTTGAGAAACGGCATTTCTATCTCCCTGTTCGTACCACACTCTCAGAGATATTGATGATAAAGTTGACTTTGACCTCTGATGACTTCCTGTGTGTCTTCCTGCTGGCAGCTCCATCATGCGCGGCTGTGACAACATGTGCACGTACTGCATCGTCCCCTTCACTCGGGGAAGGGAGAGGAGTCGCCCCATCAGCTCCATCCTGGAGGAGGTCCGGATGCTCTCTGACCAGGCAAGTGCTGACAGAACAACCTCTTTATTACAAGTAGACACGCGCTGATAGCAATGCTAGGGCTATTCCACAAACAACAGCACAACCGTGATGTGGAAAGTGCAATATACCAAAGTATTCAATCTGAAAACACAACATTTTGGAGCTTTGGACTTAACATGAAAATAATATTACATTAGCCATCGAGAGTTTTCCTTTATCAGACATTTTATGGCATAATGGTCATTATTTTGTGGGTTAAATTAAGTTAACATCAGGGTAGGTGCACATTTTATAACTTTTTTAATAATCTTTACATTCATCTCAAACACTTAAATGAAAGAGAGGGGTCTTAACATGGATTTACATAACAGAAGAAAGGAGGATCTGAGGTTTGGGACAAAATGTAAACAAATGAAGACCAACAATGGAAAATATAGCTTGAAATGAAGAGCAGTGATTGGTCAACAGAATATGGGACAAGAAGACAGACACTGAGATGTTTGCAGTCCTTCCAGTCTCTTATTATTCCCAGAGCTGCTTTAATTAGTGGATGAATAATCCCATACTAACAGAGATGGCAAAAGTACACACATACTTTACTCGAGTAGAAGTACAGATACTCGTGTTTAAAAATACTCTGGTAAAAGTAGAAGTACTGACTAAACTTCTTTACTCAAGTAAAAGTAAAGAAGTATGGGCTTTGAAATGTACTTAAGTAAAAAGTACCCATAACTACCATCTGTTTTAAAGAGTACCTGACCTAAGTACAGGTATTTGTTTTGAAAATGTAAGAAGCAAAAGTAAAAAGTCGTCAGAAAAAGAAGTAGTGGAGTAAAGTACTTAAGTACAGTAACGAAGTGTTCCACTACTTCCCACCTCTGCATACTAACATGTACATGGTGTGTGTGTTGTCCTCAGGGCGTGAAGGAGGTGACTCTTCTGGGTCAGAACGTGAACAGCTACCGAGACGCGTCAGAGGATCAGCTCTGCAGCTCGGGGGCGACCCGGCTCAGCGAGGGCTTCCAGACCGTCTACAGGAGGAAAGAGGGAGGCCTGCGCTTCTCTGACCTGCTGGACCGAGTGTCCCGCATCGACCCCGACATGAGGGTCAGGTTCACCTCCCCTCACCCCAAAGACTTCCCCGATGAGGTACGTTATCACTCAACTGAACACATTAAAGGTGAATGGGGCTGAACAGCTGATTTTAGAGCCTTTAAATAGTCAAATGAGGAGTTATGTAATGATAACCGTGGGTGAATTAAGGAGAAAAGTACAGATGAGCGTAGATTAAATGTATTAAAGAGGCCCTATTATGCTTTTTGGGGGTTTCCCTTTCCTCTAGTGCTTTATGTAGGGTTGAAGACGTCCTAATGGGCTCTGTGTTTTCAAAGGTTATTCATCTGATTGCGGAGCGAGGGAACATCTGCACACAGATCCACCTCCCGGCTCAGAGCGGCAGCAGCAAGGTCCTCAAAGCAATGCGTCGTGGGTAAGACAACTCAAACTAAATCATCAAAGCTATTCTGTTTGTAAGGTTTCGGGGGAACTCTAACTCTAACCCTTTAAACAAGTCAGGAAGTTGTTTAATAAAATGTATTCTCTTATGAAATACGCAGCTACACTAGAGAGGCCTACCTTGATCTTGTCCAGAACATCAGGAGAATTGTCCCAGGTAAGATATATATAATATATTGTTACTCTAAAGAGGCTCTATTATGTTTTTCGGGTTTTTCCTTTCCTGTATTCAGTGTATTGTATTATGAAGGTTTTGGTGCATGTAAATGGTCTGCAAAGGCTAAACAGTGTTCCCTTTCTCTCCTACACACACTGCCTCAAGCGCCTCCATTGGACTCCTTTATTTACTTTATGAGATTATAAGTAAATTCCATTTGTTACTTACAGCTTTGTTCATTCGTCACACGTCTTTAGGTAACACTATGAGTAATATCTTATGATAACACTAGCCTGACTTCATAAAATACAATTTATTTATTAAATCCCAGCTATCTCCTTCTGTGTGGAGAAGCCCGGCTGATAATGTAACCTAAAGGCCTTTTCTTTCTTATTCTCGTCGTCTTAATAAATGAGTGTGTGGTATGTGTTTAACATGAATGACTGTGTGAATGTGTTTCAGAGGTGAGTCTCAGCAGTGACTTCATCTCAGGGTTCTGTGGTGAAACGGAGGAGGACCACCTGCAGACTCTGTCTCTGATCAGAGAGGTGGGCTACAACGTGGGCTTCCTGTTCGCCTACAGCATGAGGAAGGTCAGTAACGTGCCATTTCACAATGAAATCCAAGCTGTTCTCTTCAGCCGCTCCGTAAATGATCGAGATTGTAACCTTACCGTCCTTGTGGTTTCCTTCCTCAGAAAACGCAGGCCTACCACCGTCTGGAGGATGACGTTCCGGCGGAGGTGAAGCAGCGCAGACTGCAGGAGTGTATCACAGTTTTCAGGGAGGGGGCAACGAGGGTCAACGCTGCTCTGGTGGGCAGCAAACAGCTCGTCCTGGTGGAGGGGGTGAGTACCGCACGCATAACACAGCTTCATAGTTTCTTTAGTTTCTCTTTTCTCACCCGGACGGCACCCTGTTCTTCCTCTTTCAATAATAATAATAATAGCTTAGATTTATATAGCGCCTTTCATGGGACCCAAGGGTGCTTTACAAGAACCCCAACTCAACATTTTTGCATCTCTGGTTCCCTCATCCCAAAGTCCCCCTATCCTGTCAATCTTTGGCTGCATTATATGACAAAGGCATGAAGCCAAAAAAAGACATCTTAAAATAAAAAAATCTTTAATTTGTGAAGATTATCTCGCTAAAGTGTCTTAAATGTTTATTTTCCCATTTTCCCCTTATTTTCTGCAAAAATCTGAAATCTAATGGAAAACTCCCATTGGTTAACTTCCTGGTTGGTCTCCCTGCAGCGGGCTATTAGACAGTTTTCCACAAAGTGAATGGACGTCTGCCAATCAAAGGTTGGGTGGTTTAATCTCCACTAGTACTGCACACATGACACAGCTTCATAGTTTTGTTAATTTCTCTTTTCTTACCCAGAATGCACCCTGTTTTCCCTCTTTCGAGAACCCTAACTCTTCATTTGAAGGAGTGAGTCAGCATTTTTGCACCTCTGGTTCCCTCGTACCAAAGTCCCCCCATCCTTTCTACCTTGGGTGTATATATATATATATATATATATACAGTGGGGCAAAAAAGTATTTAGTCAGCCACCAATTGTGCAAGTTCTCCCACTTAAAAAGATGAGAGAGGCCTGTAATCTTCATCCTAGGTACACTTCAACTATGAGAGACAGAATGGGGGGAAAGAATCCAGAAAATCACATTTTTAATGATTTAATTGGTAAATTCCTCGGTAAAATAAGTATTTGGTCACCTACAAACAAACAAGATTTCTGGCTCTCACAGACCTGTAACTTCTTCTTTAAGAGCCTCCTCTGTCCTCCACTTGTTAACTGTATTAATGGCACCTGTTTGAACTCGTTATCAGTATAAAAGACACCTGTCCACAACCTCAAACAGTCACACTCCAAACTCCACTATGGCCAAGACCAAAGAGCTGTCAAAGGACACCAGAAACAAAATTGTAGACCTTTAAAATCAAGGGAACCAGAGCGATGGTAATTTATAGGTTAGCCGTCAGAAATACGTTTCCCTGCAGCTCTCTCTTAGATTTCCACAAATTAAATGAGCGTCTACCAATCAGAGTGACAGCGGTTTGATCACCAGCTCTTACTAGCATTGATATTTGCCAAACTGCTCACCATAGATGGAAGTACTTGACCTGTACCTCATAACTGGGTTACCATAGAATAACTAAGCTCTTCTTTGCTCTCCACTTTCTGTTCATGCAGGAGAGTAAAAGATCTGCCAATGATCTGAGTGGGAGAACTGATGGAAACACCAAAGTCATTTTCCCCAAAGAGGAAGTTGCTGTTCAGTCTGCAGAATCCAACAGAGCACCAATCAGCGCTGGAGACTACGTGCTGGTGGAGGTACAGATACATCTTATACACATGTTTACCTTTACTTCAAAATAGAGACTGATCGATATTTATTACAGATATACTGGTACATGCCAGAGATGCATTTGTCACTTTAGTATTTCCATCAGAAAGCACTTTTAGGTGTATTTGAAACAATAACATGTCCCACTCACTGGCTGTAATCAGTATATCCAAATGATGTAATAACCAAATGAAAAAGCTCTTATTTTTCCAATCAACTTCTCGATTTTTATCACGATTTGAAAACATTTGAATTACAATCGGGTGGCTAATGATTTGTCGTTTGATCCCTGTCAATTCCCAACACATTCACAGTCCCAAAGAGGCAGGTTTACAGATGTATCTTCAGTCATGATTATTTAATATTATAGAGAAACACTTCAAGATTCCACGTGTGATTTGTGTTTATGAAAAAAAAAAAGTTCTATTGCTATCTCCCTTCAAACCCATGTCACTGTCAGGCTGTACTTCAAAGATCGGGAACATTTACCTAAAGATGGAGATGAAAACTTTTGGTTTGAAATCATTTCTTTATTTATCCTAAAATGAAAAATACACAGGTGTTCCAGTGTTTAATACAATCATGTATTATCATGAATTCTGCTACTGCTGTAACAAACCAACCATTATAAACAAGCTTAAGCATGCTAAGATTAAATAATTAAATATTTTAAGGCATTATCTGGTTCATTCATCATTCAATCACTCACTCTTCATGGTTTGTGTCTCTGATATAGATTTTGTCGGCCAACTCCCAGAGCTTGAGAGGCCGAGCCCTCAGTCACAGCTCCCTGAGAGAGACGGTGAAGAACTACGATGAACATGTGTCCTCAAACACAACCATGACCGAAACAGGCCCATGATGGAAACCACTGGAAAGATGGGGGAGCTAGAGCACCGCCATATTTTCTTGGAAGACACACTGTGGCTGTTTTTCATGGACTCTTGGACTGCTGTGATGAGCTATTAAAACTGCAATATGTTATTTAAACTGTCAGTACTAAGTGTGTTTATTTACATATTGAACTGACGACTCTCTAATACAGCTATTATATTTGGAAAAACTAGAGCAGTGTCTTTATTCAGAAATAATGACACATTCTTGTGAGCGGATTAATGTAGGAACTATTTTCTTCTACTATTTCAACCTAACTTCACGCATCATCGATTGAGCACCAGCTTCTTGTCCATGAGTCGATGCAAGCTTCGTTAATCACATTGGCACGTTTAATTTGGTAGAAAGAAAATAATTCCGACAACAAACTGCTCACAATGTCTGTGGATTATGTTAAGTGACTGGGTCTCGGTTTCTGGAGAGAGACATTGTGCTGGTGAGTTTTATTCAAATGTATTTTATTGGGGCTTTGAGCAGAACAAACTAACTCCTGTAAAGTGTGTTTATATTCAAGGGAAGGCAGACTTACTTACCGTCCACACGGTAGTTTATGCGCTAGGCTAATGCTAATGCTAATAATGCAATGCGAGGATAATAAAATGGCGGCTTCACAAACGTTTTTGGGAGTTTGGCGGGGCGTGCTTTGCAATCCGCCCAGCCAATCAGACATAGGAACCTTTTTCTCCCACGAAAGTCCCTGCTCTCTAGCAGGGACTGAAAAGGGGGTAAAAAGGTTCTCATTAACTAATTTAGTTCCCGGGGCTTTTTGGTGTGAACGCAAATATATCGTAGTTCTGGTGAACTAAAAAGTACTCCGGTGTGAACGCGGCTAAAGTGAATGGGAAGCGTCTCCGTTGAAGCATGCGACGTTGCCATGTGGACCTCCCCTCCGAAATCTCCATAAACAGTAACTCACACCAAAACATATTTAGATTGAAAAATTGCATTAAAGCTAAAAGAAAACAATGTACTTTTGTGTGAACCGTCCCTTAAGAATCTAAAACTGGTTTGGATAATGTAAATGATAACGCTTGTTTAGCACAAACTACTGTTACCTAGTTTTTGTTAATAATAATTGTTTTCCTACGGCTCTCAAATCTGCTACAGAAAAGTCATGCATCGGCACATTTGAAGCATCACTCTGTGAGATACAGAATCAGAAACCTTTGAGTCATACATTTTTCATAAAGTTGGCAGCAGAGAGTTTTGTTTAAAAAACATGATCGTGGTGACAACTGTTAACAGACTGTTCTACATTGTACATAAGATTTATATTTAAAAGAAAAATAGTATGAACACCTGAGTTGATATCCGAGGCAAACAGGTGATCAGCATTTGACGGTAATATTTCTACATGATGAACTGGGATTGTGTCTTCATGGTGCAGAATTGGAAGCTTCCAGAAATGGCACTCAACCCGTGAACTGAACATCGGTCCCAATCATCACGTGGTCCTAGAGAGAAATAAACCAAAATTAAGAACAGCTTAAAAATCAAATAATTCAGTTGATTGTCTGGATATTTAAGATGTTTTCTTCCGAGTTATTGGCCCTCGTAAAAATCCATGTCATATAATAAATACAGCTTTATAGGAAACAGTCTGACCTTCAGGACCAGCAGCTGAGTGTTCACCAGCTTCATCTTTCCAAGTGTCGGAAGAGGGTATCCTTTTGCAAGTTGAGCTATGAAGCAAAAATGCAGACATTTAGAAAAACTAGTCCCAAAAATCTAATGTGGAAAACATGGTCATGATATAATAGCAGAAGTGTTATATTAGGTGTTAAGTGTATAGGACATTTCATGCATTAAATGCAGATTCAATTGCTTAAAAAAGGAAAATGCAACACATAAGATTTAACTGAAAAAGGGGGATAAGTTATGACTTTAAAACTGGTTCAATATCATTTATATGAAAAGATAAAAAATACACACTAGCAATATGCAACACGATTAAATACATATGAATAATAGATAAACATTTTTTAAATGGGCAACAAAGTGTGCCTTTCTGTCTTTTATAGAATGCCAGAGGGACCTGTAATGTAAAATAGAAAATGAAACGTTACTCCACTCTACATTTTACCTATATGTATGTGTTTTTTAAATGTTTATAATTTAGTTTATTATAAATGTCAGTATTTTTTACTATTCCTGAAATAATTATTTAAGTCACAATTTAAAATAAAATGCAATTTTCTCTCGATTTTCAAATGAAAATGGCATTTTAATTTTGTTTCTGAGGACTTAACCTGCAGTACAGTGGACAATATTACAATTCAAAGAGCAAAACAGTGTCACAGTCTATTGCATTCACATTTCAATCTGTCAGTCTTCTCATCAAGGCGGGTCTTAGTAGTTCATAAAGAGTACTCACCATTCATTCTAGGTATCACCACGAAATTGAGGACCGTTTGGAAGATGCTGTTGAGGGTACCGACCTGCAGGTCAGAGTTAGGGTTCGTTAGTTATGTTGGTACTGAATGTGCACACTGTGACTCGTGTTAGAATGAGTTCTCACCTGAAAGTCTCCGACATAGCTCGTCCCCAGGGTCAGATCCATTCTGTGCAAATGAGGCAAATTAAACGGTCATGCTCGTCTTCACAAAGACCTTTTGGCCCCTTTTTCAAGTTTTTAGTTACTCACTTGTTTAGGGTGACAGCTCCGGCCAACCTCGTTCCACTGACAAACACTCGGGCGCTGACACTGGAGACCTGTAAAGACAATATAGTGAGACAGTTCCCAACGTAGAACCAAACAAATGGCTTTTTATTTATCACACCAGCTGTGTAACCTACCAAGTTCAGGACAAAGAGAGGCGTAAGTGTGGCGTTGGGTTGGATAGCGTAAGCTGTCACTGAGGCAAAGCTCTGAACTGTCGCGTTGTTGGGTTCAAACGTGATGACTGGAGCTTTCGCCATCTTCACCAGAAGTTTCATCATCAGACCTGGGAAACGCTTGGCAATCTGAAAAAGAAGATATATAGCTGACAAAAACACTAATAAACTGGTGCAGAGTCCTTAAGCATTTTACCACTTCTAGTTTCCCCGTCTTTACTTTTGCATTTTTGGACCGGTTAGATGCCTGAAATAAGGTCTGTGTTTAACTCAAGCTGAGGAAATGTTTACGTTTTATTCTTTGACGAATTACGTCAGCAAATACCCCACTCATGAATGTCCAAAGCTTCTATGAGACATACAACGGTAGATGCTAACAAGTGTCTGAATAAGCGATAAACGTAAGTGCGCCTTTAGCTTTGCGGTGGTGATGCGCAGCCAATTTTGTATTTAGCCTAAAGTTCGTTTTTTACTTCCAGTGATTACAATTATGCTTCAAAAATCATAAATGTGGTGTTAATATGTGGAGATTATCCTGTTGAACAGAACATGTAAGAATCATAAACGTGAGTTTGCCACAAATCCTATTTTCTGCAATATACTCAAATCCAATGGAAAAATCCCATTATGATTCTAACTTCCGCTTCGGCCTACATAAATATGTAATCCCTGCACCAATCTATAAAGACAATGCTTTGTATCAAATGAGTAGAATCTGTTTTCACCTGCGGGATGAAAACTCCAAACGTTCGGGTGTTGAGTCGGATGGGAGAGATTTTTGGGATCTGTTGAGAGTCAGAAAGGTTGAATATCATTGTGACGTCATGTAAGAACATTGATGAGTGAATCAGGAGGATTCAGCTCACCATGTCATCAGTGATGTACAGGCTGAGGGCTCCAGCTGTGTTGTAGACGAAGGCCGCAGATTCGATGGTGAAGGAGGAAACGCCGATGTACAACATGTTGTTGATCTGGGGCGGCAGGGAAAAGACTGCGGGGGAAAAGGGAGGCTCCTGATGCTTCCCGATGTTGTAGAATTCACCCTAAAAGACAAAGAAACAGAACATTTGCAACGCAACCATGACTGTCTATTTCTTAATAACCAAACTGCAGAGGTGGGAAGCAGTGGAGTACAGCCCCACCTAGTGTCAACAGAAAGTATTACAAATAATGATTACAAAAAAATGCAAAAAATAAATTATAAAATATATTTTAAGATCATGTTTAATCATCTGATTCGTCTGTACATTGCTGTTTTAGTATGTGTTCTTCTAATTAGTGTCTACAGTGTGTGCCTATTGAGCTGTTTAGAGCCATGTGGGACAAAACCCGATCCTGCCCCTCCCTCTCACTGTCTAAGTGAACGGTGACTGTAAAAACTACACTGCGCATGCTCAGAGTATTTTTCTATTTAATGTGTGTGGCAAAAAATAATGACCATAGGGGCAGAGAGCTGCCTTCCCCACCATACGTCATCTCACATTGGCTGTAAGTACGTGTGCCGCGAAAAGTGTGGTGTGTGAAGAGGAGACGAGAGAGGAGAGTGACGCATCCTAAAACCAGGAAGTAAGCTGCGCATGGCTTCCCTCGACAAAAAAGCAATGAGATTTCTCCATAGGATTTTAGAAAATAGCTCAAAATAAGATCTGTGGGAAACGTAGCTGTTAGATAAATGCACGTTTTGTTCAGCTGGATAATATCCACATGTCTAGCCTACTTTTATAATTTTCGAATCATAAATCTATTGATTAGATTAGATTTATGATAGACTTTTGAAACTACAAGAACATAAGGAGGACTTTTACAAAAAAGTAATAGAGATTTTTGTCCAGAGGTATAGGCAAATGGACTTCATCTTCAAGTCAAGGTAAGACCGCAATTTTATTGAAAATTGGATCTTACTTGAACTGTCTGTTTAAATTAATCGAAGAATCAGACAAAAAAAGCTTTTGAAAATAATATTATATTTTGATTTAGGTCAAAATATAGTATAGTAAGTAAAGGATGTGTGTACTTTTGCCATCTCTGCCAAGCTGAGGCTCCAGTACAGAAGCCCTAAGAAGCAAGGGGAGGCTGTGGCTCAGTGGGATTGTGCGCTGAATTTAGTGTGCTGAACTTTGAATCACGGGATAGCAAGTTCGAGTCCCACTGCAGTCACCATGTCGTTGTGACCCTGAGACACTTCACCCCAAATTGCTCCTGTGGGGATTGCCCGCAGTACTGAATGTATGTAAGTCGCTTTGGATAAAAGCATCTAACAAGTAACAAGTGAGCAAACAAAAGCATCGGGATGGTTTCTCACCTTCAAGCCAAAGTCAATGGAGGTTTTTGACACTGCAGGCGATGCCACCATGGAATATTCAATCTCTGCAAACTTGTCCACCTTGGCTAGAACTGCATAAAGACAGAAAGTCTCTCACATATTCAGCATCAATGAAACATACACATAGATATTTGACATGAAGATAATGTTTTACCATTGAGAGTTTTCAAATTGTTGTTCAAATCAGATACTGCATTGGCCACCAGAGGGCAGATCTGCAACAAAAATTCCAAAACACAATACATTTGCACAGTGATTTCTGAATGGAGAACATATTCTTAAAATAACCCAACGTGGATAAAGTGCAGTTTGGAAACCAACTAGTGTCTGTAAAGCTAAAGCAGTCCTCACCTTTTTCTGCATTGCCTTTCGTATCGCACTACTAATGGATTTCTTGAAGAGATTGTACAACCAGCTGAAATGAAAAACAGGAAATATGGCAGCACGAAAATAAAATAAAATTGTATTCTTTCAAATCGGTTCAAAAGTTGTTTCTTCTTACCTGGCTCCACCCCTAAAACGGACGCTCATCTTGCCAACATTGGCTCCACAGTCGATACTACTAACCGCAGGTCGGCCTGTCGGATCAGTCTTGATAGAGAGACTTGTACTGAAACTGATGTCATCGCCGTTCAACTTAAAAGAGCCACTGTCCTTTCTGTTGAGAGAGGGGTGGGGATAGGGTTAGGGGTATATAGGTCCCCAAATATTTTACTTTAAAGGTCCTCTATTATACTGTTTTTCATCAATATATTATAGTTCTCAGATATATACAAAACAGGTCTCTGAAGTGTTTGGCTCCAAACACCAAACAGATCATTGCAGCATTACCCATAATCCCCTCTGTTTCAGCCCTGTTTCCAAAGTGCTGATTCTCTGTCTGTTACTTGAGATGAAAATAAGGAGCCCCTCCCCACGCCCCTCTGAGAGACATTTGGTTAAAAATAACTCAATGGTGCTCTAGGAGGAGATTCAGGTGATAAAGTGTGTGTGTGGGGGGGGGGGGGGGGTTACCTTGGTTGGTGATTGGCTAATGGTTACACAAGCCAAAAAAATCGTTATGACATAATAAGGCGCCCAAAATTGGATCAGCTCATTTTCAGACAGGTTTTTATAGAAATGGGTCAGGACAAAAAGAGAGAGAATCTTTGTTCCTGAAACTTTCAGAGTCTCTTTCCACAGAGGGGACACATGTTGATGTAGAAGAGACATGAAGAAGAGGGGACACATGTTGATGTAGAAGAGACATGAAGAAGAGGGGACACATGTTGATGTAGAAGAGACATGAAGAAGAGGGGACACATGTTGATGTAGAAGAGACATGAAGAAGAGGGGACACATGTTGATGTAGAAGAGACATGAAGAAGAGGGGACACATGTTGATGTAGAAGAGACATGAAGAAGAGGGGACACATGTTGATGTAGAAGAGACATGAAGAAGAGGGGACACATGTTGATGTAGAAGAGACCTGAAGAAGAGGGGACACATGTTGATGTAGAAGAGACATGAAGAAGAGGGGACACATGTTGATGTAGAAGAGACGTGAAGAAGAGGGGACACATGTTGATGTAGAAGAGACATGAAGAAGAGGGGACACATGTTGATGTAGAAGAGACATGAAGAAGAGGGGACACATGTTTATATAGAAAATACATGAACAAGTGGACTTTGCATAGTAGGTGACCTTAAAGGAAGAAATCTGTTCTCACTTACACAAAGCGGTACTTGACCCGCCAGTTTCCATTCAAACGGAAGTTAGCGTTGACAATGGACAGTTTGGGACCGGTCCCTGGCACCAGATCCAGCGTAGCCGTTGGCAATCCCACATCCACCATGTTCATACTGATAAAGACAACATGAAAGTTCATTTTCAGTTTCATATTTGTATTTTGTGTCTCTAATGTTTCCATGCCTTAAGCACGAATGCGAGAGAAACTCCCTCTAGACTACTTTGGGATTTAAGCCTTTGCAGACCATTTACATGCACACAAACATAACACATTACAGAAAAGGGAAAACCCCACAAATCGTCTTTAAGTATCCAATTTAAGAATTGACGGTGATGAATGCACTGCTTTCTTACTTTTTCAGGCTGTACTTGACCTTGCCGATGGACACCCTCACTTTCCCTGACACATCATCAAGTTTGATGGTTTTGAGTTTCTGCAAGATCGAAGCTACTGCCAGTTGTCTGCCTAGGGAAATCAAGGGAAATTGATGATTACATCTCGGGAGAAATCAGCGATTTAAAACTAAAAGTACAAACCTTACCATATTCAATGCCTTTAGCTGTTAGCTTGACCTTTACTCCAGGGTTGGTGCTTGTGGTCAAAGGGATTAAAGCCACCAGAGATAGGCACCAGCACAGAAACATCTTGACTGTTGGGAGGAAAAAGGACAGGATCATCAGCACAACTTTTATTTATTTGTTCTCAAGATATGTTGACATGTTTATTTGTTCCGCAAATGATGTTTGGGAATCAACCAATCAAGGCTTCCTCTTCTAGATGAATGCCTTGTGATACTCGTTTCTTATGTATTGTTATAATCCATAACCATCATAACTTTACACATCAGTGGCTTCCAGGGAATCTGGAGAACCACAGAACGGCCGGTCGTCAAGGGCCGTTGACGGCCGGCAATTAAAAAAAAAAGGTTTAACGTTATCATTTAAATTGCGCTGACGGCCGACAGAGGGCAACAGCGGCCGCTAATGCAGTTGTGTGGTTCTTATGTCAAATAATCACAGACGAAGAAGAAAAAAGACCGGCCACATGAAGAGAAGGGAATTAGACGCCGCGGCAGACAGGGAGAATGAAAAAACATGGATACAAATCAAAGAAAACGAAAAGAAAAAGGTGGGCCGAGAAGGCAAGAGAAATAAAGGTGAAGTCACTCGCAGGTGAAGCATAGAAATGTCGCAAATTGACAGACCTTTTTGGCAGCAGCGCTGCTACAAGCACTATCATCAGCAGCTTAAAACAAGTGCAAGATGATGAAGAGAATGATGTGGGCGCGAGTTCAGATATACAGCCAGCCTCCTGCGTTCATGATGAGGGACAGAGTTGAGCTGCTGGAAGAACCAGCTCAACTGGCATGTATACAAGTGCAGGGCAAGAACAAGAGGTGGGTGAGAATTATCCCTTGAACTCAGTGGCGTTTTCTCCTGGAGGCCAAGGGAAGCCAGGCCCTGAATTTTTGAATTGTAGTTATAATATCAATAAATAAATAAAAACACTTAGTTTAGTTTCGGTAATTATTCTGCCGGCCCGTCTCTCCCCCATTCTCTTTGAGTATTTTTACAAAGAGTGAAACAAACAGCGCCCCTCTAGATGTTATGGTGAAACAGTAGATTGCACTCTCTGTTGCGAGAGGAGGCCAGCCGAAATTGACTTCCCTTGGTGAAAGAAAATTGAGGGATTGACCAATCAGATGAGGCGCACGTCATGCCTCACAATCCAATCAAATCGCATCAACTTAAGTTCGTACTGTAACTGTCATCACTGCCCTTAAAAAGTAGCAAGCAACTGAAGCAAGTGCAATTATGGAGGGTGGAGATTTGGAGTATTTCATCAAAAATAATTTTACTAAACTTCCGCTACAGCAGCAACTACAAATTAAATCTGATGACAGGCCAATGATCAAACTGGAGCTGTGTACAGAGAGGAAAAAAGGAGTGAATCGGACGTAAAACTTTAAATAATAAACAGCGGATTTCTAACATTTGACATTTCATGTGGCAAAAAGGTCGTTGACGAACATTTTTGTATATTGAAAATAAACAAAACATAAGTGAATGTGCCTAAAGGGGAAGCCACCAGGGGCGGACTGGGACTAAAATTCAGCCCTGGAAACTGACCCAGTCCGCCCCTGGTGGCTTCCCCTTTAGGCACATTCACTTATGTTTTGTTTATTTTCAATATACAAAAATGTTCGTCAACGACCTTTTTTACATGACTAAGACGAGACGATGACGAGCTAAAAATAGATTCTTGAGAATAAAAACTACGACTAAATGTATATTTTGTTTTCGTTAACGAGACGAGACGGGACTAAAATGTAGGATATATTCCCCCAATTGTCCGTCTTGTCTGTCAAAATGCATCTTACGTTTCTATCATTATTTCCGCTCTCTTCACTCCAGAAGAGCGATCTCCCACAGGCATGTCTCTCTGTGTACTAACAGACACGCTGCAGCGGCACACAGAGATCTGCCGGGACGGATGGCTCGTCTGCGGCACTAAAACATTTTGTGTTTTCGCGTAAGGCACGAGTAGTCTGTCCAAACAGCATCATATTCAGTCGGAGAAATGCCACTGATCCACTGAGCCACATCCTCCCATATTATTGATCATTAAAGTGTTCTCAAAGCTGGTAAAGGTGCAGCTAGTTTGAATGACTTTGTATACTGCAGGGTAGCTTGTGAATTTACTCCAGGTGGAACTAAAGTCTGATTTAAGACTTGATTATGTTTCACATCATTCATCCACATCTGTAAAGTAACTAAAGGTAGGCTATTCAATAAATGTAGTGGAGTAAAAGTACATCATTTACATCTGAACTGTAGTGGAGTAGAAGTAGGCCTACTAAGGAGCAAAATACTTAAATACTCCAGTAAAGTACAAGGACCGTAACATTTTATTCAAGTACAGTACAATATAATAACATAATTATATATATTTTATTTATAACTTATATAACTGAATTAGTTTAAAGAGAGAAAACATTTTGACTAAAAGTTGACTGAAATGTAAAGATTTTTCATCGACTAAAACTGCACAAAAACGTTTTGAGTTTCGTCGACTAAAACTATGAAGGATAAAAAGGACTAAAATGTGACTAACACTAATAACCATTTTCGTCTAAAGACCACGACTAAATCAAAAATAGCTGCCAAAATTAACACCGTGAGGATCAGAAGTCTGGTGCAAGACAAAGTGTGCTTTTAATAACCAAAGTGTATCTGAAAACAGGTTAAAGAGGCTGCTTATTAAAAAGACAATCATATTAAAAAACATGAATTATATTTGACTGTAACAGATTAGCACTTACTTCCAAAGGTAGTTTTGTAGGGAAGTAATATTGAATGTCAATGCATATCCTAAAATGCAATTTTTTTTCGAATATGCAGCCTCTTAACACTCTTTATCTGTAATCACTGCAATTGAGGCAGAAGAAGAAACCGACATGTTTCATAATACAAGAATCATCTACCTGATGTGAAGAAGGATTTCTAGACACTACAATTCAAGGCTCCTTCACATATTGAAGTTAACTCAGAACGAACATAAGAAGGTTTTCTTATCTTTACATATAAACAGATATAAGCTCTTACCCGAAGCAGTAGTCTGTCAGGTTTCTCCTGATGTGTGAGTCTCACTGCAAACAAGGCAGAGTGAAAGAGGAAGGGAGGCAAGGTCTGTAATTCACTTATCCAATCAGAAACTAAACTATGGCAGGGGACTAACCCACATGAAGCAACATTAACACATGTTGGTTTTCCCGCTGCTTCACTGTGCTAATCTTTTACCACCTGACATATTACAAAATACTAACAGTGTTCTTATGTTAGTGTTGCAATATGATATCTCAATTATTGACTCAGAATGTTACTCTGAAGCAAATTGCAAAACTGTGTGCAACAACCAGCATTTATTTAGTTTTAGGAAACAAGAGGTGGAAGAAGTACTCAGATTATTTACGTAAAAGTAGCAATACTACAGTCTAAACATACTCAGTTAACATAAAACTCCTGCATTCAAAACTTTACTTAAGTAAAAGTAAACAAGTATGACCGAAATGTACCAAAAGTAAAAGCACTTCTTATGCAGAATGGCCCAATTAGGCATCAAATATTTAAAATGATTGTATTATACAGCCTGTTCTCCTCCAAAAAACTACCAAATAGGTTGATTGTTCAGCAGCTTATTACGACCTATAGTCAGGTTTTAAAGTTTAGCACCTACAGTGGTCGTGTAAGAAACAACAATTTGCGGCATATGGGCTGATAATCCCGTTGATTGAAAACTTTCCGGTGGGTCGTATATTCACAAATAACCCTCTCTGGAAAGTCCTAAATTGTAGGATAGTTTGGCATTAAAATCCTTTTGGAATAGATTTCTAGCAAGAAGTGTATATTGTACTTTTAGAATCTACGCCCAGCGGATGTGTAGGATCTATAGTTTGATAGATATTACGAAGATGATTTGAGGTCTCGCCAGGAGAACGTCAATATACTACGTCTTCCCCCTATTCATTTCTATTGACCAGTGCCCATGTAAAGTTAGCGTCAACCCTCACGGAGTGAAAACAGTATTTCCGGTCTCTAAGTTTTCATAGTAAAACCGGAAGTATTCCCCTCACTGTCAAATGATTGTACAGTGATATCTGCAGTACTCATCCACTAAAAACATCAGTTTATCCTTGCTAATTACACAACATTGATTGGTTTAAATTGGGTACAATGCTTTTGTTTTTTCCCCTTCGATTAGGAGAAACAAACAGGATTGAAACTAGTCCCCCCCTCCCAGAACTACACATGTTGGCTATGTGTGTGTTTCGCAACATGTTCTATGGCACGTCTCTACTGGGAATTGTAGTTTTAAAAGACGTTTTCGTATTTCCCATAAATAGAAGTTGAACTGTGTACTGTGTACATCCCTTGAGGTTTAGGGGATGGGAAAGACATTGGTGTTATCACATTTAAAACATATAATTAATAAATGGGTGATAATAACACAATATTACTATTAACTTTATTGTGAAATTAAAACAGAACGGTAAAGAAGAATACAGTTTCAGTCTCTCGATTTGAATCTTATGCATTGTACCATGAACCTGAATACACCTGTAACAGTCAACTGCCTGAGGAGTTGGAAAGGTAGTTTCTGAAGATGTTACAAATAACACACAGCTTACAATGCCATCATAACTTTTTATTATTAGTGTAGGACACTTATGTATGTATAACATCTGAATATGTGTAGTTTTATTTATGTTTTCACATAATTGTATAAGATATTGCTATATTATTTCACATATTGTAGTTCTACACATTAATATCTGATTTGAAAACATCACAGACAGAAAGGTATATCCGTCATTTAATGGTAAGCTATTGAAATTCTGATTCTTTAGATGTGTCTCCCATCACCCAAAACCCCAGACTATTCTCTCAACTCAGTATTTACATTCTTATATTCAAAGAAAATCAGTAATATATTTAAAACTACAAGTCCCTGTCTATCAGCTGTGCACCGTTATGGTGTAAATACAGCCTATCTGCCAATTGGATCAAATATAAAAGTCAGCCGAATTAATGTTGATACTTCAAGGAGACGTATTGTGTGAAGAGAAATTGAAGATGTTGTTTAGTTGCTGATATATTTATGATCCACGTCACATATTCAGTTTCGGTGGCAGTTCTTCCAGTTTGTCCAAAGGTCTTCTAATCAGGGCTCTATAAATAAAGAACTACTGCAGATGTGTCATATTTAATGCAGCCGAACCGTGTATTACAATGCCGTTATGTGATGACTTCCAAAGAGAAAAGCAAGCACACTCGGAATAAAGTATTTTTTTATTTTTTCTATTTATGTTTTCGGATTTCATATCGCATAAACACCATATCCCAAACGTGCATTGCAGCTAAAACATCCAATCACCGAGCTTCAACGATAGCTGAGGATTATGGGTAGTTCGATGTTTTAGCCTATCAAAACCTCTGAAAAAAGAAATGTGTCTCTCAGAATCGAAAGGGAAAAACCTATGGGATAAACTAACGTTTTTTAGTGGATGAGTATTGCAGATATCACTGTAAAATCATTTGACAGTGAGGGGAATACGGTTTTATTATGAAAACTTTGAGACCGGAAACACTGTTTTCACCCCGTGAGGGTTGACGCTAACTTTACATGGACGCTGCTGTCAATATAAATGAATAGGGGGAAAGACGTAGTATATACACGTTCTCCTGGCGAGACCTCAAATAATCTTCGTAATATCTATCAAACTTTAGATCCTACACATCCACTGGATGTAGATTTTAAAAGTACAATATAGACTTCTCGCTAGAAACGTAATCAAAAAGCATTATAATGGCCACGATATCCTACAATTTAGGATTTTCCAGAGAGGGTTATTTGTGAATGTACGACCCACCGGAGCGTTTGCAGTCAACGGGAGCACGAGAGTTCGATAACTTTAAAACGTGATTATAGGTCTGAATGAACTGGTGAACAATCGACCTATTTGGTCGTAGGAGTTGGAGGATTTGTTGCAGCGGTATTATAACTATTGATGCGTTCATTTGTGCGTCACTTCAATGTTGCGCTGAGTAAACATGTGGTTGATTTGAATCACTAGATGATTTTTTTTTTTTACCTGCTGCAAACCAAATCTACCTGTGGGTAGATATAAATAAGTTGAATCTGATATAGTTTATAGGTTTGGTGCCAACATATTTGTCTCATGTGTAGGCTTAGTTTCAACGTCAATTTCCCGTAAAGAAAGAGGAACACATAAATCAGCCGAACTGGCCAATAGCAAACAGGAATCATGATGATGAAAAGGGAACAAAGCAATGAGCTGCGTATTAATCACACTTGTGCTAACGTGTACTGTGGAGAGTGTGGTGTAATGTTAGAAACTTCACTTGTTGTTATGTGTTTCCAGTATTTGGTTTCAAGAGATTTCACGTAGTGCAAAAAGCTCTGAAAAAAAATGCAACTATATAATATTTATTGGACATTTTAAGATACAGTCATCCAAAAATATAAGTTGTACACACGACTTCCCTGTAGATGTATGTCCTTTTATTATTATTGTTTAGGCAAGGCAAGGCAAGTTTATTTATATAGCACCTTTCAACACAAGGCAATTCAAGGTGCTTTACAAAAATGCAAGACATTCAGACAAAGGCATTTAAAAACAGTAAAAGATAATAAAAGAAACATTAAAAGAAAAAATACATGAATAAAAAGTTACAGTGCAGTTTAAGATATGAATAGTTCACACAGAAGTTCCACTTTACTGATGAACACAACGGCTCAGTTTCAATTAAAAGCAGCGACAAAAAGAAAAGTCTTCAGCTTGGATTTAAAAGTAGTCAGAGTTGCAGCGGACCTGCAGGTTTCTGGGAGTTTGTTCCAGATATTTGGAGCATAATAACTGAACGCTGCTTCTCCATGTTTAGTTCTGACTCTGGGGACAGAAAGCTGACCAGTCCCTGAAGACCTGAGAGATCTGGATGGTTCATAATTTAGCAGAAGATCAGAAATGTGTTTTGGGCCTAAACCATTCAAAGCTTTATAAACCAGCAGCAGTATTTTGAAATCTATTCTTTGACACACAGGAAGCCAGTGTAAAGACTTCAGAACAGGAGTGATGTGATCCACTTTCTTAGTGTTAGTGAGGACTCGAGCAGCGGCGTTCTGAATCAGCTGCAGCTTCCTAATAGATTTTTTAGTGAGACCTGTGAAGACACCATTGCAGTAGTCGAGTCTACTGAAGATAAAAGCATGGACAAGTTTTTCCAAATCCTGCTGTGATATTAGTCTTTTAATCCTAGATATGTTCTTTAGGTGATAGTAGGCTGATTTAGTAACTGATTTAATGTGACAGTTGAAACTCAGGTCAGAGTCCATGACTACACCTAGATTTCTGGCTTTATCTGTTGTTTTGAACATTGCAGACTGAAGCTCAGCGCTAACTTTTATACGTTCTGCCTTGGCTCCAAAGACCATTACCTCAGTTTTGTCTTTGTTTAATTGGAGAAAGTTCTGACACATCCAGTCATTGATTTGTTCAATGCACTTACTCAGTGTTTGAATTGGAGCATAGTCTCCTGGTGAAATTGTTACGTACATTTGTGTGTCATCCGCATAGCTATGGTAACTTATTTTGTTGTTTTTCATTATCTGAGCCAGTGGTAGCATGTAGATGTTAAAGAGAAGAGGCCCCAAGATGGAGCCTTGAGGAACCCCACATGTCATATTTGTCAACTCAGATGTGTATTTACCTATAGAAACAAAGTTGTTTCTGTCCTTTAAGTAGGATTCAAACCAATTTAGAACTGTTTCCGAAAGTCCCACCCAGTTTCTCCAGTCGGTCTAGTAATATGCTGTGGTCAACAGTATCAAACGCAGCACTGAGATCTAATAATACTAACACTGAAGTTCTGCCACTGTCTGTGTTTAAGTGGATGTCATTGAAGACCTTTACAAGAGCAGTCTCAGTGCTGTGGTTTGGACGAAATCCTGACTGGAACACATCGAAACAGTTATTTAAATGCAAGAAATTACTCAACTGTTGAAAAACAACTTTTTCAATGATTTTACCTAGAAATGGGAGGTTTGATATGGGCCTGTAATTGTTCATTACTGAAGCATCTAGATTATGCTTTTTTAAGAGCGGTTTAATGACTGCAGTTTTCAGGGCCTGTGGAAAAACAC